CTAATGTAATTCAAAACAATATCCGGTTTCGAATACGGATAGCAAAATTCGTTACTTAGTTACTGGCCAAGCCCCTACTCGTTTCGTGGAATAAAAGGAGGAAGTCGTTGATAGGCCTAGTCTTAGCAAAGATACGGATATCGAGTAGGCCTAGTTAACAGTATTAATTCCATGCACTCATGTATAATTAAATAGAGATAATGTACGTCATTAATAATAAACAATAATTTGTTTATTGCTTGTCAACCGATACCCAATCTCGTATCTTAGCAAAGGGAAGGAAGCATGAAATAACTTTATGTAAATTCGTATTTTCTAGTCACCTACCTTGTTGAACAGAGTTGAGAGGTAAATAATGAACCAGAGTTACCGCCCTCTTTTCATGTGCGGTCCCAATGACATCCGGTCTAGTTTCGCTTTCCATTTTCAATGTCAACAGGCTTAAAGTAAAAGAGCAGTAGAACTAACTAACAGTTTATTATTATCATGTTTGTACAGTGATGGTGGCATTTCACAAGATTCAACTGTGGTTTCTTTTGATTATAACGAGAAAATGATGCAGCCGATAAGGAGACTTCAGACTCAACTCGGTACCCTGTGGGCCAGTCATACTACAAAACGAGTTGTAATTGTATCGGGAACACTACTCGGAGTAGGAGTGTTCTACTGGCCTTTTATTTCCAGCATGTTGTACCCTCCAGCACATATGACCCCAGAGCAGGTCTCATACTATGATAAAGAAAACTATTACCTTGGTAAGGAAATAATAAAAAATTATGGCACTCTTTCGGGAAGGACTTCTGTAACGAGCGACCACCCCAACAAACACTAATAGTCCATGCCGGCTGTAAGCACGGTCATCGGGAGAAAGCATAAGCGTGCTTAAATATGAAGCGTGCTTGAGTCGAAGTAGACATAATCCAGAGATTTTCAGGTAGAAAATTTCCCGTACTATTTCCCTTTGTTTGTAAGTAGGCCTATAGCGGTCCCGCAAAAGTGTGCACTGTTATTTTTACCCGCCATGGTAGTTTTTGTTTGCTTGTTTGTTTTTGTTTTGTGGTCGAATGGGAAATGAAAACTTAATTTAGACGGCCAGTCACGATACAGCACACTAGGCCTACACGCTGCCTGTGAGTACCACTGCCCGCTGAGCCACATTCATACCAGCGCCTTCATCCCACCTCGCGGGTGATACACAATCAGGATTAATGGATAGCGAGGGCCAAAGGTGAAATCGCCGCCAGCCGCCCTTTCTCGTCTCCCTGACTCTCTTTGTATTTTTTAGTCTGTGTGTAACTTTGCCCTAGGCTAGATCCTATGTCCACGCGCGCGGCTCTGTGTGCATCTCTCTGCCTTCCTCTCCGCCCGTGTGAGTGTGTGTCTCCATCATTTGCGTTCTCTGTGTTTCTCTTAACACACTCCACTGCTGCAGTGTAGACTGTGTTCGAACTTCGATGGGTCATCATAACAGTATTGACTGTCTTGTAATGAAGCGTGCCTGAAGCCGAAGTTACCGTGCTTAAAGGCGTGTAATTTATATATATATAGCAAAAATTTGGTAAGAGCCGTTTAGCGTGCTTGAGTCCGAAACGTGCTTTAAGGTGGCGTGCTTATAGCCGGCACGGACTGTACTACTAAAGAAGAGACCTAGAAGTCTACATAAACCCATACCTATTCCGTACTCCTCTGTTCTACTCTGTCTCATGGTGGTCGCTCGTTGTGGAAGTCCTCCCCTCTTCGGGAGAAGTGGTACCAGCCTAGATTTAACTCCATGCCATAGAAATTATCTAACTCTTGTAATTGGAAACAAAAATGGAAGTCGAGTAAAAAAGCTGGCTGAGTTGAAAGGGTGAAAAGGCCACCCAATGAGGAAAAGAATAATGTAGAAAATATTGAAAAATCGAACTACTTAAAGTGGACATATGGTGAGACTGGCAGGCCAGCCATATTTAATAACGGCTAGAATTTGCAGACTACAAAAAATAGGTCTACTGAATTGAATTGTTTATAATAAAATTTAGTTTGCTATCTAAAGTAGGCCTATTTGTATTTGAGACGAAACCAAAAGGTGCCTTACTGACAGTCCATGTATTTTAAACCTGATAATTACTAAAATGAGTTTTGTTCAATAGAGCATCGAAGCAAGGCTGGACAAACTGGCAGGCTAGCTGTACTTTGATCTGGCTGAATTGTAAATAAAATTTTAGTTTACATTACCTAAAGTACAGTTATAACCCGGAAGGTGGAACACGGAAGACTTGAAATCACGCATCCGTTGAACTGTGCCTGCAGTCCTGTTTTCTTTCTTCTTTTATTTGTAAGAAAATTTCAGGAAGCTCGAACACAAACACTGAATAGTCAAACTAATTACCCCGCCAAAGAGGTCTAAAGTCAATGTCCTTTGAGTTAGGTGCACTTGAAACAAAATGATTTTAAAAAAATTTTTGAAAAAGGAAAAAGGCAAGGTCAGTAAAATACCACTTTCTCCCTCCACAGTTCCGAGCAGATAGCTGTGCTATTTTTTCCGTGCTACTTGACATGCGTGCCTAGCCTAGGCTTGTGTGAAGCGGGCAAAAGGAAGGGTTGTGCAATATTGTGCATCTCACGATCTATTGTTTTGCCCCTAAAGTAACAATCTTTGTTGTTTAACTTGATTCTCTGACACAGCCAATGCCACACTGTTCACGTGATCACGTATCGAATGAACTACGGACCCCTCGAACAACGGAGGCTGGTCCCGACGAATTCGATCTTTCCATGTTATACTGTATTTAATTTGTATTTCAGACGAACCTCAAAGGTGCCTTACTGACTTTCATATTTTAAACCTGAATAATAATTATTACTACATCTGACGAGACCTGTGTACTCAACAGGTTTTGGCCAATAGGGCCTGTTGTGTGTAATTTTAAGATTCAAATCAATGTTGTTGTCTGACCTGTAGACTGTAAAAAGTAAAGTTGTTCCCGCATCAGATCCGGACACTGGGGATTGCCTTGTTAGTGAGACAACTTCCTGGGCCTTCAGCATATTGTGATAGGGTGGCCAGTACCTTTCCACGCCGCCTTTACTTCCCCAACTCGAAGTCAGGTACCCATTACTGCTGGGTAGGCAGAAGCTGGCGAAAAAAACCTGTGTCCAAACCGGGGCTTGAACCCGGACTTTCCGCTTCGGAGACGAGCGCACTACCGCTCCGCCACCATACCCTGCCTGTAGACTGTAGTATTGTTAATCACTTTGCTAGCTTTTGGCCTATGTTTCCTACTGTAAATTCTGTTAAAACTTATGTTAATATTGCCAAGACTGTATCTCAAGGGCCATGTCAATGTTTTCTGCAATCATTTTGAAAGGTCATAATGTTGTTATTTCACTTCGCCTAAATCACCTTGGTGTAATTTTATTAGAACCCCAACTAATAATTGCTTAGTCTGTGTGCACTGACACATGTAGTGACAATATTGAATACATTTCTTCACTCAACTGCAGATTCCCCACATGCAATTGAAGTGTGCATGCTGGAGCTACCATTGAATACTTCTGTGATATATAATAAACGTGTCTACGGCTTACACTATTATTCTGCCCCTAGGTGACAAAACATCATTTTTCATTTTTGACGCCAATTTTGTATCATTGCTAAATCCATTGTCTGATCGGTTACCCTACTTGTGTGAAAAAATTAAATTGAAGTGGAGCTTTTTAAAAATTAGCTTTCACGTTTCAGAAGAACGCCTTTTTTAAATGGTTATGATGACAGAATGCCTTTTATCTGGAAACTGCTGTATGAACCAAAAAGAAAGTGTTTTGTTAGTATGGAAGTTGCCCTTAGCTTGGGGCTTAGGCCAATTATATAGGCCTACCTGTTATATATATTATATAGTCTATATCATGGGAAATATTTCCTAGTGATCTTTTTATACAAAAATAATTTTAAGATTGTTACCCTTTATCTCAAACGTACATAGTTTGTGACTGTAACTGTCAATTTCAGCCTGCTTACCCTTTCCCAAATCCAAAACTTACAAACAGGGCTGTACTAAAACAGTTTTTTACCGTATTGATTTTTTTTCTTCTTGTTCATTTCTGTGTTTTTCAGCTAAAAAGACTAAACAACTGGAGGAAGAAAAACGCCAGAAACAGTTAAGAGGCAAGCAGCTTCTACAGGCTTCTTCAGAAGGGGACGATATCTCAAAATCTGAGTCTTCCTAGCACCCATCATCGAGCTGCAGTGATTACCATGCTTGGGTTACGGTACCAGTAGTGGCAGCATGTGACATCTTGCCTATACATTATACACATTAAAAGGACTATCCATTTCTGAAAGTGATGTCTACAAACACCTCTCGCTTGATATATTGTTTTGGACATTTATGCATGGTCGCTTTTAAGGACAAGCGGGCTAGCCCAGATTTCGGGGGTTTCCAGAAATATTGACCTGCATCAAAAGTGGGCATTGCCCTACGTATAGGAGAAGTTTGGTTTCATTGGACTGTATATTTGTTTGGTTATAGATATAGAGAAAACTCTCCTTGTCTTTTAAAGAAACTGAACAAGGGGCAAAGACTTTACCCTCAACTTTCTCAAAACAGCATTTTTCGGGATAGCCCCCTTGTTCTTAAAAGTGACCATATATGTTGGTTTTCATTTTCACTGCAAACTGTGGAGGGCATTTTTCTCCAAGATAATAAATTATTCTGAGAAAAGGAAATTTATCTATTAGATAAAGCCTTGTACACTCAGGCCACTAGAGAATCTTACTTCATTCATCAAGATTATTATTAAGTCCAGGGTGCAAATGTCATTAAATGGTGTTGTGTGGAAATCATTCATAAGTGAGTGTGTATTATTATTGTTAACTTGATCCTATTCATTTGAAGTGTCATTTGTGTCGCGTGTGGTAGGGCTGGGTCACGAGCGCGAGAACGGAACTGAATCGCCACTCTTTCCTGCGGAATGCGATTCACGATTCACTTCAGCGGAACGCGGAACAGTATCGCCAAACGATTCCCGATTCACTCCCCTGTCACCACCTTGTGGCTTGTTTAATCTACAGCTGAGTCGAGTCACGAGCGCAAGAACGGAACGGAACACTTAGTATGGCTCCCCTTATTTTACAAAAGATGGTATAGTCCAACCCCCTTATTAAAACGAAATGAACGGGATCCAACCAATAGACAGAAGGAATTTTATGGAGCCATTGTTTTAGCGAATGGTGGGGTTGGGGGGGAATTTATGGGGTCACTAATTGAGGTCAGTTGATAGAGCAGCGCAACAAAGGGTGTGGGGCGGAGAGGATGGCGGAACAACAAGAGTGGGACTCGCGCTCGCCAAGAGGCGTTGATATGACACTGTTCCGTTTCAGTCAGTGTTCCGCCACAGCTCCACGAGCGCTCGTGTACTCGCGATTCATTGAAGCCAACTGAATCGCGAATCGCCACTCTCAAATTTGACGAGCAGGATCCAGCCCTAGTGTATGGTGGAATCAGGTGCTTGCCAATGTTTGGGCATATGTGGAGTCATTTGTGTCATCTTAAAGTTTGTTCATTTGCCTATATTGAGATGGAAAAAAAAAATCTATATCTACTTTGGAAAGAAGTCAATACATCTGATTGAGAGGGGGGGGGGGAGGAGGTGCCTGGTGTCGGAGGTGAAATTAGTGAGAAAATGGCCTCCAAAGTATGGTGATTTCCAAAGCTTGAGGGTCCTTTGAAATTGTCGATTTATATTTTGTGTACGGTGCCTTTGATCAACGCTTTTCTTGTAAAATCCACACAGAAATGTGTTTTTAAGTGCACGTAAAAGGTGTTGAGTCAAATAAAATATCGATGAAAATTGCCCAATCGGCTAAAATATTATGGTTTCTTCAATTTCATTACTTTGAAAAACACTCATTTCACCACGATATCTCAAATCTTTTTACAACAAACATTTTGTTATTTTCTTAAAGTAATACAGTAGAACTCGGATTCAATGAAGTCGAAGGGCCTGACCTTAGATTCGTTGAATCCGAGTGTTTATTATAGCAAACATGAGGTTTTTGTGGTATACAGCAACATTTGATTCCACCACCGTCCGGAGCCCTAATCATTACATAGATGTATGTCAAGACAAGCTTATCATTGTAACGTTGATCAGTAGCCAGAGGAAAAAAAACTGTGACGCATTTATATATTCCCTGACGTTCCACGCCCAGACCGCTTGTGCCCCCCTCCCCCAGACACATGCACACACAGTCATATGTGTGCTGGCCACCTGTCCAAGCCCGACGCACGCTATGAGATGTATGTGTGCGTACTAACGACTTATGTTTTTATATGAAAGAAAACCGCTGATTGGTCGCATTAGATATAAAAAAACAGGCTAAGCGAATAACAGTTCACGATGCAGATGCCATGGATGGTTTCCAGGAATAGATAAGGTTCGTTGTGGGAGAAAAATGAGCAAAGTCACATCAGTGGGGGCTGTTCATCCTGCAAGCGACTTCGTTGAATCCGAGCTTGCACATTCAGGTGTCTGTTGAATCTGATTTATTTTTATTGATTTTTATGAATGGGAAAACCGGGATTCCAACTTCTTTTGTTGAATCCGGCTGGGGCCAGGTGACAAGAATTCTTTTTGTAACTATTTCCAACTTGTGACTTGCTTTCGTTAGGACAAGCAGAAAATAATTGGAGGGACAGGGTGGTTATCAATACTAGGAGAAAGAGTAGTTTGCTTTGAATTGATTACAATTTACATGTACTTTTTGCGGTTCATTATCAGGATGAAAAAAGATTAAGATGTGATAAAACTCTAGAAATGTGTCTTGAATTCACTGCAGGCTGTGTTTTTTTTGTCCGTACCAGGTCTTGTTTCTCACATATATTTGTGACATGCTTTTCCACTGATTTATTACAGGGGAAACCTGATATAACAGGGATGGTGGAAGTAGAGAAAATGTCCTGTTATATCCGATCCCTGTTAAGTCAGAAATGCAAGGAAAGTAAGCATTTGTGGATTAATCCAGCTGTACTTATTCATGAGTAGTTTCCCTTGCAGTACCCACGAACAGGGATTTTGGCACCAACTTTCTCCTTGCCTCCTTAAATCACATCAGAAGAGCTTGGTCCACAGCATCTGCATCGGGTAGTCTCATCTACTTTCGATCCAGAGCAAACTTTCCATTGGAGTATGCTGCCACTATCTTCTCTCTGTCCTTGATAATTGTGTGAATCGACCCTTGTGGAATGTCGAACTGACGACAAATTAACAACTCTGCCAGTGGAGCTTGCTTTTTGTCAACAGCCTGGATTATTTCGTATTTTTGTCAATTGAAAGGCATAATTTTCTCTTGCACTTGACATCGTTGGTGACACATTACGCGTGCGTGTTGCTTGGTTTAGGGCTTGATCGAGGTCTGCAGCACACCGCAGCAAATCGGAATGCCGTAGGCCTTGATTATAACTTGTATTATACATGTACTAGTAAAGCTTATTTCTTCTTATTAAAATAGTTTAAACTAGAACCTGTTAGATCTATTATGTTTCCTTCAGTTTGTGAATAAATGCTGCGCTAGCTGTTCTTGTAAATTATGTAATAAAAATGAATTGATTGGAATTACAGTGTGTTACATGTATCTACTTGAACTTGAACTTTCTAACTATCTATGAAAAAATTGTGTTGTTTTTACAAGCAAAATGTAATTGCAATTGTACGAGCTTATTGCCCTGGTGGATGTAATTTGGCCCTTTGGAGGCTGGCTGCTTTGGCCCTGCCAGTAGAGGCCAATTAACCTGGACTGAGTGAGATACAGCATCTGAGCAGACAGGCTTAGATACCTAGTAGCCTACTTGATAGAAAACTTCCCCACTCTGGAAACGAACTCACAATGAAGAACCTAACTGCTGCATGACAGTCGCCAGTGTTCTCTTTAGCCTTTATTCTTGGATATTATGCTTCTGTCAAAAAACACATACATGTATAATCTAGCACACTCATAGTGAAATCTGTAGGGCATGGAAATCTTTTTATTTTTACGAATGTTGCAATGTACAGTCGAACCTGCCCTCACGGCCACCTCCATAAGATGGCCACCTGTACAAACATCCATTTTTCATCCCCCCCCCCCTTTTGTTTTTTCTATACAAATTTAACTGTGTAAAACGGGCACCTGTCCAACGCGGCTGCGGCCAACATATTTTGACACACAACCCCTATCACACAAAACAATAACACCTGTCTTACACAGCCACCTTAGTGACTCCCTTACGTTTTGTCATAAACTGTGCTTTGGCCCGTGGCGTTGTTGGCAAGCCGTCATGATTAATTCAATTACCTGTCGTTGTTGTTAGGTAGTCCCTCGGAAGTCCCTCCAACCGATGATGTTGCGCAGGCCCCTCCCACTGTTTCACCAATAGGTAGCAAATTTTCAGCTGCTGGTGAGGGAAGTGTGTGATTCCTCATAATCATAACGCATAAGCCCCGCCCAAAACTCGTACACAAATCGTTTTATGAGATGAGTGGTCACTGTTTACCCAAGCTGTAACAAAGTATCAATGGACGTCAGCATGAACTTGTGACAGAAGCGTCGCTCGTTCTCCGAGCGGTGGCGACACATGTGTTTGTTTTACCAGGGCACTCGTTCCTCCTTGTCTGACACATTTCGTTTTATTGTCACCCTTGCAGAAAAGCAGCAACAAAAGAACCCCCCCCCCCCCAAAGCGAAAACAACAACAACAACAGCAATAACAACAACTACAATGTGTCTTTTTACGGTTGGGACCTCAGAAAGGAATAGTTTGTTTCGTTCATCTTGATCAGTCCTTCCTAAGACGGCCACCTGTCTTATACGGTCACTTTTCTCCTTGACAATGGGTGGCCGTCTTACACAGGTTCGACTTATGTGATTTTGATACAATATACAGAAGAAGAAACATTTGGGGCCTGAAAATCTGTTCCCTGTGCTGTGCGCGTTTCGCTATGTGCGTGTTTGTTATGTGCATGGTAGACTATAATGTACTTCATATTTTGTCGAATATCGAAGTGGCTAGCCGTACTTAAGTACGGCTAGA